ANTTGTATAATGATATATGTTAAATAACACATAAACATATGCACACAGAAATGTATAATAATATATTAATTAGTTCATTTTTTGTGATGAAGGTCCTGACTTTTCTGAAATTCTTGTTTTTTTGTAATAAAGTCGTGAAATTTCATTTGTTGCTTTTTTCTTTCCTTAAGCAAATGTCAGTAGCCAAAAATTGCATTCAAAACGCCTCATTTTGCTTTTGTACTTCTTTCAAAATCTAGATCATTTGCTACAGTTTGATCAACAATTCAGTTATCATTACCAAACTTTTACTAAGGATATCTGTAGAGAAATTTTTTGGGTTTTTTGTTTTCAGAATCTATTTTCCAGTTCCACATGAATTCCATGTTCTGCCAATTCTTGAAGGTTATTTATTGGTAAGGCTCTCACCAGAAACCTGCTGCAATTCCTTAATATCCTGCTCGTCTACATCTCCTAGTCCTGCTGTATTGATTAGGTATTAGGTTGACAATTTTCAAACTAACAATACAGTGATAGGCTCTTCTCATTGAAAATTCTTGGATACATTCAGCCATAACTTCTTCCACACTTTGTGCATTTATCAGTTAATTCTTGCCAAGTGAAGCCGATATTGCCCATGGCATCCATGATGTTATATTTTTTGCAAAATTGCACCAAACAAACATAGATTTAAAGAAAGTACACCTTTTTTGCCATCTTTTCTGATTGGTTCATGTTTGTAAATAATTGTATTATATATGAATCAATGAAATGCCATGGTAATTTAAATCAGCGTAAATTTTGAGCTTTTTTCTAGGCTTTGAGCAGACTACATTATATTAAATCGGTATTAAGTGGGGTCTTACTGTGTATATTATATATATATACATATACTCTTACCGTAATGACCAAGAAGCTACATTTTAGAAAGTATCTCCTCCATACTGGTTCTTGTGCTTCATTTTAATTAATTCATGAGATGGATCCCATTTTATGCAGTTAATTTCTTTCAGTAAGTGTTTTGAATATATAAGTGTATTTATGGTCCAGTTTTTAATGAAGAATGATTTTCACTTTTATGCTATTCAATACAGAAAATATTCTTTCAGCACAAACAGAGAATAAGGAAATGAAAATAAACTTATTAGGTTAGTGAGAATTTGTGTGGAAGTCATCCAGTTTTGAATAGAGTAACTGTTAATATAAAACTTATCAGTTTTGACAATAAGGAATATATATATATATATATATATACTCACATTTTTCTTTTGAAATTGTATACCAGAATTTTTTGAATTCCTTTTCAGTAAGATGACCTGTATCTTGTAATTTCTCTTAACTTTTTGTTTAAGTTTTCATGATCATCTTTTGATATTGTAATAGTAAATTTCAAGGCTCGAGAGATAATTGATCATTTACATTAGTAGGGTTCATTGCTTCAAGCAGTTCTAGATTTGTAAACATGTCCAGTGCAATTGACAAGAATTACCTGAACATCTTCATTAGTTTAACATAAAAATTCAAAGTTTGCAATTTGGAATTTTTTAAGCTCTTTATTAGTTATTCTTGATGTGTTTTTAATATAAATAGCTTTAACTTTGACTTCATGATATATTTTGTCTTTTTGAAGATAAATTGATGGATCACTTTCATTGATCTTGGGTAAGTTCTTGTTCTTAATTATTTCTCTCTAGAAAGAGTAACTGAGGATTTCTTTAACATTATTATTAATTGAATTTCTTAGTTTGCTTATTCTAAGGCTCTAAATTTAAAATTCAAGATTAAGTTTATTAACACAAAGTAAAATGAAAGCTAAATAACATAGTATATCTTATTAACTGGGTTCTGTAATTGTTCCAATATTGTAGTTGATTATCTTGTAATACTGCTGATATGAAACAGAGGATGAGAGTTGGTCATTGGTTCAATCTTCTCTTCACTACTTACTCTGCATTTTCACTCGTAAAACTGGCAAGATTTTCTAAAGGAATTTCATGCTTTTGAAAAAATGACATTAAAGAATCAAAAATTCTTTTAGTGTTGCAATCTGTTATCTTTAGCAGAGTTAAATATTTATCCACTGTTTTTTGAACATCATAATCATAGTATCTAACTAACAAACAAGTTGTTCAAGAGTGTTTCATCTGTAGTTAATTAAAACTTCATTATCTTCAATTTTGAAATTAGCTTAGTTATATAATAGAGTGAAACAAATCAGTGATTTTTGTTTACACACAATTAATACCTTTGGAAATTTTAGAATTATAGCATATATTAGCAGTCTAATTTGGTAAATAATCTAAAACTGTTATTGATAGATTGTATTCCACAACAAAGGTACAGAGCTTCACTTTGCTGCTGCTACTTGGTTTGAATAAACAGATGAAGATGGTCCAGCTTGCAATAAATTAGTTATTTTGAAGTATTGGTTTGTGCAATTTTTGTGCAATTAAAATGCTTATGTCTTCACTTATCTTTTAACTCATGATACTTCCTGTAATATCACAACTTTGCAAAATACTTTGCTTTCGTTTTTCTTACATTACATTCAAGAAGTAAATCTTTCATTATCTAGCCATTCTCTTCTCAATTTTTGTTCATAAACTTTAGCTATGTTTTTCTTTTCTTTTCAGATGTTTTATTTTGTTTTTTATCACTATCCAAGTATTGTTTATCTCTCTTTTCACTCATTATAAAGTAAGATTTCACTAATAATGTAAGAACAAAAGTTCATGAATCTCACTTTTTACATCAACAAATGAAAAAAAAAAAAAGACTCAGCAAAATGTTGCAGATGAGAAAACATGCAACAGTAATATTTCTTGTTAAATTTGAGGTAAATTTAAAACACATCAAAGTTAATTAGTTTCTCAATGGTGTCACATATGTTTTGTAAAGACATGCCATATATCGCTGCTCAAGGTGAAGAATCGTGCATAAAAACCTTTAAAAATGTAGTTGTCCTGTAGCAAAAACCATACAAAAATTTTAACTAAATATCTTGCATGGTTTCTGAGTTATTAGAAAAAAAGGAATATTTATTTTAATTTAATCTTTTTTTTAAAGGAATATTTCTATAGCATCTTAACCATCCTTATCTCAAAAACTAAGCATTTTGGGATATTAGCTTTTTTTTCCTAATTTCACATATTTTTTGATGTTTGATCATGTCCTGAAGTTTGGCTAGTCCTATCATTAACACCATTTATATTCAAAAACTTACATGGTCTGTCTTTACAAAGATTAAAGTTATTGGACTGCAATATGAAAAAATTGTAGACCTATAAATTCCCACTGTCATTCATGTGTCTGTCTTTCCTTAATCTCTAGAATGGAGTTAGATAGATGATGAGATATGATGAGAGACCATACATGAAAATCTTATAAGCAGGAGGCCCCAATTAACTTTATAAGAACTTCCGATAGAAACAAGAAGTTATGTATGTTATTTGAATTCAAAACTTTCCCTGAAAGTAGTCAATAGATGACCAGCACAACTTTATTGTCCCTGGAGAGGGATGATAAAGTTGTGCTGGTTATTAATAAAGTTAATAAAATTAATAAAGTTATTGTCAAACCCACAACTCCTGTTTACCGTGCAGATGCATTGCCAATTATGCTACCCAGACCTCCGGTCCGATCTCCTCTTCCAGTATATATAAGCATACATTACGACCATCGATGGTCATTACAATGCTGGCTGGGGACGCATCCAGCACACACGTCCTATAAACATCTCCCAAGACACTCAACCAGCCATTGCAAACCCCGCAAGTCATATATAAACAAACAAATAGCCTGATAATATTCGGCATTGGTTGGTGTACAGCTTTAAAATATATCTGGTTTAGTGATGATTTTTGTTTATTTAATGATATCAATATTTGAATTGAATAAAATTATGTGTACTGTACATTAATCTATAGTTTCATTGGCAATTTTAAAATATATTTTATATAATGTAAGATTTAATTTTGTAATAAAAATTTTAAAGTTTTAAGATTGAAATTAAAGAATATTTTTTAATATTTTTTTCCCAATTGCAATGCTTTTCTTCTCATATGGCATTATTTATTTGTGTGTTCTTCTCATTAAATCATTTAAGTTAATAGGTCTTGTTGTTATAGCTAATTGACTATGTAAAGTAATCTGTTTAGTATTATAGGCATTTCTGGAAATTATTGGATTAAGATAAATGAGATTGTGAGATTGTTATATTATTGCACATATAGAGATCATTCTGAATATCCTAATTTGAATTAATCAACTCAGAAAATGGTTAATCAAGTTTGTTAGAGCAGAATTAACATACTGTTGAGCAAGTGCATAGTCTTTCAATTTCTATTAATAAAGTCAAGTAACTGATATTTCAATATTTCTTTTTGTTACACTATTGAAAACGGTACAATAAAATAGCTTAACAATGTTACAAATTAAAATATAATATAAAATTAAAAAAACAAACAAAATTATATAAAATATTTTTTTGTTTTGACAAAAGTAAATTATATTATAGATTTTAAATTATTGAAAAATATAATTTTACTGCCATTCTATATTTATTTGTCATTTGTAAAGAAATATTTCTCTAGAATTATGATGCTATTTTGTCATATAATTCGTTTCCATTTATTCAAACTTTGTTTTCATTTTTTGCAATCCAGTTCTTCATTGTCATTATTATAATTATATTAAATTCAACCATTTTAAGAAGAAAATTTAGAAAATTTAATTTTTGTTATATAGTAATAAATTTACTACTACTATTTCTCAATCATTATAAAAAAAATAATTTATATTAAAGAAATTACATTTTTAGTTATGTTTTCTAATAAGAGTCAACATTATTTTATATTAGTTGTAAGACTGTTAATAAACAATTTAAAAAATTTTAAAGTTACATTATATTGAGTTGGGTTTTATATTAAATGTTGTCTATTGTATTTTGATATAGATGAAATAATTTAAATAATAATTCAATTCCTGAAAAATAATTGTATATATTATATTTTTAGACAAAAATTTCAAGATTATTACATTATCTTAGTGTTAAAGATACAAAAAATACTATCACAAAGAATTGTGGCTTAGAGGAAGAAGATATTGCTGATACAGGAGGTTGGTTTGAAGAAATTGAAATTTTCTAAATAATAGAATCAGTAAATTTATTGATTTATTTATTAATTATATAGTTGTAGGTGAATCAAAAGTTCAACCACGTTTAAAACGAGCTAAATTATGTCAAGATTTTCTTAATTCTATAAGCCTTATTGGAGGATTATATAATAAAGTTGAAGATGAAGTTGTGGATGAAGTCAAGATAGAAAGAGAAATTGTAAATATTCTTTGTTTTATGAACTTTAAGATATATATTTTGCTTTATATTTAATTTTATTACTTTTATTAATATAAATGCATTTAGATTACTATCTTAAAAATATTTAATTTAACAAATATTAGTACTATTCTTAAAATGCTAAATTTGAATTCAGTGTTTTAAAAATTTTGTTTAAATGAAAAACAATTTTATCCTTTGTGAATTTGTTATATCATAGTAATATTTGTTTTTTATATGTTCTAACTTATAATATTTTTATTATTTGTTTTTTGTAATTTTAAAGGGATTAGTCATTAGTCAGTGAGGTAATTGATCACAAAATTTGTTTTATTTAAACATATGCATAAATCTAATACATTAATTTTTATCTGTAATATTTATTTAATATTAAAAAAGAATATATTACTATATATATTATTTAGGATTTCATAGTAATATATTCTTTTTTTAATATTAAATAAATATTTATTTTAATAAGCGTGCAGATCAACAAACTGCAAATATGGATCAAAATCAATATTTAGAATATTCTGAAGCAAGAAGAGCATCTTTTGGTAAGTCAATAATTATGTTTATTTTTTTGAGTTTTATTGTAATTGTGATCTTAAAATATTTATTTTTAAATAAATTGTTAATATATTTGGAGCTATTGAATTTAATCCTAATTGTTAAATAAATATACAGAATAATGTAAATTTATTTACCAACATTTTAATCATAAATATGGAAATATAAAAGAATGTGATAAGTTATTCTTCCACAAAAATTAGCTTGAACACAAAGTAATTTATTATTTTAATGATAAATGTAATATTATTGTATTGTTACCATTTCTCTTGAATAATATGACTAGAGATTGCATGATGTAAAAGAGAAAAAAATATTAAAAATCTACACAAATAGCAAAATTCAAATATTAGTCTACATTTTGAATTAAATTAAATTAAACACAACTGTGATATAATAGTATAAAATATATAAAAGAGGATTTGTCTTAATAAAATACAGTGGGTGATTGGTTAACAAACAAATCAGATGACGAACACTTTTGTGAAAGATTTTTATGTTTGGACAAATAACACATGTTTGGTTAATGAATTACCTCACAGAACAAACACCAGAAGAAGCGATTTGAAATAATGAATATTGATTGGTCATCCCTTGTTTTCAGGCAACAATTCAAAACTTTTCGGAGTACAGGAGGCATCGACATCGACGCTCAACCTGGTATGCACTGATTGGATAGTATTCCTCTGAACATTGAAATTCCCCCTTGTAATTCCAGCCTTTTATTTTTCTGACAGGAACAATTCTTTTATAGTATTGGCGAGACTATTGGGTAGGCACTCGTTAAGTTTTGTGTCTGTTTTTATTTTTGAAAGGTGAGAGTATAATAGCAAAAGTAGAGAATGAGCAGATGTCTGATGTTGCTGAGCAGTATGGTTTGAATAGGTGTACAGTAGGCCGCAGTTCAATCTTATCTAAGATACTTATTATCAAGAAGACTGAAGCAGCTAAAGGAGTAACAAAAATCACATCTGAGAAATAAACATTGAAGAGCTCATAATGGAACCTGAAACTGATCTGATGACAGAAGAATGCCAAGGACTCTTGAATGAAGAACATCAAGAAACTTGGTAAGATATGTTTTCTTCTGAAAAAGAGGATTAAGGCTGACATATGCTATTAAACATCTTTTAAAGAACTGGGAAGACTACAGACAGATGTCAGAACAACAGTCTTAGAATGGCATCCAAACCAGGTTGAGGTTACTAGGCTTGGGGATCTCTACAATTACAATGTTATTAATTACTTCTGAAAAATCCTGAAGAAGAGAGAAAAGCAATTGACATTAGACAGATTCTTTAACCCCCACAAATGGAAAAAAAATGACTAATAAAAATGTAAGACTGTGAATATATGTATTTTTATTATTACATATAAATAAACGTAGTAAGAAAGTATATATTTTTTATTTTTTGGAATCTCCAGAACTAATTAATCAAATTCCCATAAAAATCTAAATAAATTGATAATCAGTTAACAAACGATTTGGACAGTGAACAAAATTTTGGAATGGATTATGTTCGTTAAATGATTACCCACTGTATGTTTTTATTCCTTTATAAAAATAACTTAATAAAGAAAAAACAATATTGCACTCTTTGACAAAAAAGTTATGCAGTAAGGAGGAGGCATTAGAATTGAATGAAACTTTCTTAGTGCAAATGCAATGACAATGATAAGTGGTCACAATGTCATAGCCAAGGGATGATTTCCTGTGGAACAACAGTGCAATTTGAAGAAACCTTTGTAAAGTACTATCTTATTTTTCCAACGATTATCGACATGACTGTGTGCCAGAAATAGCCGTTCCCTAACAGGTACTTTACGCGGATTCGCGTTAGTGTGCCAGGCCTGGACTTTTAGCATGCACCAAAATTAAATAATGACCAAGTTTGTCAATAATAAATCAAATATTTAATTAATTTCTAGTAATAAACTATTTACAAAATTTAGTAAAAATCAAATAACAATTTATTCAATGAAACTCAATAAGAATCAACCCGACAAAACTCAAATCAAATCAGTTTCTAACTTAAATCTATTCCCCTCTGGAATTCGACAAAATTCAAAGACTTAACTTATATACAATAATTCTTATGAATTAAAGATCCTAATCGTCACCTCAATATACTAGGAACCTATTTCCTCAACTCTCAAGACTTTCTCTATTCGTCGATCCACAAATCGAATAACTTCAAAATCACCTTGGAACTATTTGATCCTATCGGACACCTCTCTCGTTCACTGCTACGAAGCTCACCAAGCTCGTTGCTAACTGGAGTTCACCTCTCCTGTCTTCACTTGACGTTTGGTTTTTATACTGTGAGGTGACGTCACAATTCTGACTGCGATCACTCCCCTCATTTACATACTTATTCGCTAACAATAAATTTTCTGTTTGTTTGGCAGCCTATTTTCCGACATTACTCGCTAACCTTTTACATTATCCTTTTTGACAATTTTGGGGATGTTTTTTATTCTTTAAGGTTTAGCGAGTCCCTAAGTTGTGCTTGTGGGGTCTCCCCCCTTTTCTCGGTGCGGACCTATTTTTTCCGCTCGGGAGCGCAAGTGTGCATGAGTTTTTTCTACGGCGCTTTTCTCTCGGTGAGTTGGTTTCTCTTCTATTTTTAAGTTTCTAAGGTGAATGGTGAGGAAACCTTCGTCCTAACAAAACATAAGCCCCAAACAAAATATAATAAAAAGCAAAAATAAAAGTAAATAAAAATAATGCTCGGACTTGGTTCCTTACACCTTTAGTATCTTATAGGACTTCCTCTTGCTTGGAACATGTCATGATACAATAGGGCATGGAAGCGTACAGGTATTCTATGCTATCTTGTGACAGACTTCTCCACAGATATTGCAACTGATGCTCTGAATTCCTTATATGCATTTGCATATTCATATGCATTCTTCATATGAAACTGACAGCCCATCATGTCCCACAAATGATTGATAGATAACAAATCTGGAGACTGGACATACCAAGTCTGTGTGTCAATGTCACAGTGACATTTCTGGGAAACTGTAGCTATGTGCAGTTGAGCATTATCTTGCTGGAAAATGGCCCCAAAAGGTAATGATGTAGGATTTTTTAAATGTGTCTCATATCACTATTAAATTATGATTGATTATCATAGAAGATGGCATCATAAACCAGAAAGCCAGCAGTGGAGCAGAGTGCTACTTAGCCATAAAGGTGAAATTGAAGCATTCTAACATGATGGTTCTTCATTTCTAAACAGATTTGGAATTTATTGCTAAAGATGAAACATGTCATTCCGTAGCAGTTTATGTTTCTCTATCACAACCAATAATATAGGAAGAGGTGATTCTGTAAGAAGGCTTCCATTTATCTCTAGATGATGGACAAAGACATCATTGCAGCAGTTTGTGTCTGTCCCATCTGACCTAAACAGCTCTTCTGATGATTATTTTTGACTACATTGCACAGGCATGCATGGGATTCAAATACCTCCAACCAACAAGTCAATTCTGAAACAGTGAGTCTCTGTAAGCCCTATTTAATCTCTTCGTAGACTGCATTTCATAACAAAGATCCACTACTCAAAAATCTTATAAACTGCAGCCATATTTATTAGTAATTTCAAACATTTTTGTTCATCTTTAATGACCTTTATCAAGAACAAACAAAATCAAATGCAGGCTGATTTGTATTAACGATAAATGCGTGGATCTTCTCTGTAAGCCTATTTAAAGGACATTGGGATAGCAATTTTAAGATACTATAGTGACATTACCTTCATGTCATTGAGAGCTTGTATGGAGCTTGAGGGTAAGATCCAGGAGCAGATCCCTTCTTTGTCTTAGTGAACCTGTTTTGTTAAATTTTTTTTCTGTTTTGAACATTTGAAATATGTAGAATATTCCTTTATTAATGAAAAGCAGTTTTAAAGAATTTATATTTTTGTTAGTAAAATTAACATTAATTCACTACTTTGGATACTGCACTTGTATTAAATAACCACACCATGAAAGAAACCTTAAAATGCAATGATATTTTAAATTTTTGAATGTTTTTAGTTGTTATTTTATAGGCTTTCTTTGGGATAAAATGGTGATTGAATGACAGTTTTTATTCAAAATGCATGGAACATAAGCATATTTCTGATGAATCTAATTCAAATATTACAGTTTGAGAACAAAAATTCAAAACAAGAGAATGCTGGACTTTAAATAATATGCTAATGAAAAATGTGCAAATGACTAAAGTACCAAAAAACATGTAAATGAATATGAACAACTAAAAATAGTTTTAATAGTTTACAAGTCATGACTTGTAAACTATTAAAACTATTTTTGGTTGATTTTTTTTGTATGAAGGTTGCTTAAGTGGTAGCTTTCTTTATTGTGAGAAAACAGTTTCCTGATGATGGATGTAGTTTCGTATCCAAAATGCTTTGTAATGAAAGATATTTATAGGAGTTGATTAAGTGGTCTTGGTTTTTTTAAAGATAGATATAACAAAAGAGACATGACAAAATTGTTGATAGTCTCTAGTTGGTTTTATTAGCCAAAAATAAGAATCTGTATTGACTATTTAAAAAACTGCTGGATGTAAAATAACTGCCATATGACAGTTATTTAATTAGTAGATGGTCTTAAATGGCAGTCTCAGGAATTCCTGCTAAACACAGGTTCTGCTGTTTTATCTTGTTTCAGATAGCATGTACTATTTCAGAGTTTTTAAACTCAATATTACTCAATTTCTATACATTAAAGAACAAAAATTTTTAATAAATGAGTGACAAACCATAAAAAATAACTTTAAACAATATAAAAAATATATAAATAAACAACAAAATAGGAATTTAATTTGAAAATTAAAAATATCCAGTGTACTTGTGCTTAATAGTTTTGAAATAGTAAACATTTCTAGAATAAAACAAATGTTTATTGTTTACAAATATTAAAAGTGGTAATGGTAATTGTATTAAAAGGCAATGAAAATTCTTTTATATAAGCTATTAACTAGACATGCTGTAAAATAATTTCTATGGTCCAGCTCAGTGTTTTTCAACCTGTGGGTCGCGACCCCCAGAGGGGTCGCAAAGTATTACGCGGGGGATCGCGGGTAAAAGAAAAAGAGAAGTTGTTGTAGGTCCTACACTACAATAAAAAAACCTACAATTCCAGTGAGAATGCTGTGCCTGTTTATTTTACAGTACAATTAGTTTTTCGATGGATATTTAGGTCTCAACAGAAATAAAATTAAATATGTAGTTTTTAAAATCACTGATATAGTTTTAATATGGCTTTGGGGGGCGTCCAGAATTTTTTAACTTGTAAAGGGGTCTCGTATTCAAGAAGGTTGAAAAACACTGGTCCAGCTTATGAATAATATATAATTATTGTTTATAGTATTATTGATATATTCAATTACTTACTTTAAAAATGCAATAAATTTCAGTTAAAAGATTATTATTTTTATATTATAGCTAGAAAGTACCGATCCACAAAATTCAGAGATTGGCTTCTGAAGGATAACTTGACAGAAATCAAGCCAAATCCAATAGCAATTGAAATTTTTCATTATTTAGCATATGAAACTGTTGCACAAGTAAGTATTAAAATTAATATTCTTGATTAATTTATACCTATTTACAGAAGATATTGATTCTTTTTACTTTCCTGGCTGTTATATATAACAGAAGAAAAGTATGGTAATTGATCAAAAAATGACTCCACCAAGATTTTTACATTTTTGGACTTAAGACACCTTAAAACATAGAGAAATGCAAAAAAATTGGGGGTAATCTCTCCCTCTCTCTCTCCGTGTGTGTGTGTTGTGTGTTGTGTTTAGCATGATTTTGTTCAACCTCTTTGAAGCTTAATAACTCTTGTGCTTTTTGTTGAAAATTTCTGAAATTTTGCAGGGAGGTGTATTAGGTGGATTGATGTTATTACATTTTGGTGTTTAAATTAAAGGTTGAGGGGATGGGGAGATAAAGGGGAACATGTGTATCTCTAGTAGGGTTGGACTTGATGATTTTACTCCTTATTAGCATTTACAGTTTTTTATAAAGCCCATTTGTACCCTCAAAATTAAGGTTTTACAATTTTTTAATAGTTAAAAATATAAAAAGTTTTAAAAAATAAAATATTATTACAGATGTTGCCACCAAATGCTGCTGGGAAAGTTAAGCAACTCATTGCTGAATTTTTTATAATTGAAGCATACAATTCCATAATGATGTAAATACCACTTTTCTCAAAATATGTTTTATTGAAGAATTGAATTCTAAATGCAATGTTTTCTGCTGCAAAATGTATTTGACAATATTGGCACTGTAAGTGGCTGTATTTTAAACTTAAATTTGTGAAGCCCTAATGTTTAAAGCACTAAAGTGCCAGTCACATGACTTTTGTGCTTAAAATGTTACAGCTTATATTTACATCATTTTGATATTCCAGAAAATTTGTAACCTAGTGAGTTTTTTTACCTCTCTTGAAAATTTTTTTTGGCATTTACAACATTATGGCATTGCATGCTTCACTTATATGATTTGCAAATATTTTAATGTACAATTATGGATTCACTATAATACACAATCATTAGAATAATAATAATAAATGTAGCACAATACATAAACAACAAAGACATTTTTAAGCAATTGTGGACACAGAAGACGATGTGCAGTTCTTATGAACATAGATTTGTCAATGTAGTCTTCACTTTGTCAAACTGCTTGTAGGCTTGGAAGTGTTTATAATGGTTAGGCAATATGAGATCATAAATACAGAATTTACAGATAATCCGTGTTAAAAGATGTGACATTTATAGATGACACACGTGTTAGAAAATGTCTTGTTCTGTTCAAAATAATATATCACCTCAAGATGCAAGCTTTTAAAATATAGATTATTACATATATGTAACCAAATAGATATAAAGTGAAAGAAATGTGTACACAAACACAAATTATTATGAAATGAATAATTCAGACAACTGCTAATTTGAGGAAATCAAATACTTTTTTAATTGTTGAAATTTTTTGACTTGATATAACTTATCATCAGCACACCAAACATTATATAACAGAACATGAATTAGAACATTTTTTGCAGTGTTGAAATAATGAAAAAAATTAAATCTTAAAAATGAAGAAAATGAAAAGTTACTTTAGTTTTTAAAATCTTGCTAGATGTAGTGAGAAATTTGCTAAATTGGCTACATTTGGGATACACTGACCATTGTCTAATCCAGCACACCTATTATAATCATGTCTCCAATGGCATCTCTATTATATTAGTAGTATGGTATTAGTTGTCACTGAGTGTTGTTGTTGTAAACTTGTACTGTTGTCATCACATGCTATCATTGTGTTGTGTGCTTTTTTTTTTTTTGTATATAAACAAAGTAATCCAAGTAAAAAACAACGAACCTATCATTTTAACAAAGATTTGGGAAGAAGACTACTTTGTTATCAAAAGTAAAGAGAAATGTATTTGCTTAATATGCAACAGTGTTGCATATTAAGCAGTTGTCAGTGGGAAAAAAACACAATATTGAATGTCATTACAAAACCAATCACAATTCTTTTGAGGTTAGTTATCCATCTAATTCCGAGTTAAGAAAAATAAAATTTCATCAACTAAAATCAGGATTATCCACCCTGCAAGCAGTTTTTACCAGCTGTGTAAATAAAAATAAAAATGCCACTTTTGCTTCCTTTAAAATTTCTCATTTGTTGGTAAAATGAAGAAAATCAGTTTTAGAAAGTGAACCAATTAAAGAAGCATTTCTCATTGGAGCTGATTCATTATTTGAAGGATTTTCTAATAAGCAAGAAATTAGTTCAGCAATATTTTATTTTATTTATTTTTAAGAATATAAAGATTATATCAAAGATGAATAAACAATAAATAAAATAAAATATCTTTTTTGTAATATAGAATGTTAAAAATAATTGTGCATAAACAATTGGTTTTGATTCAAAAATGGTCTAATTCCAATTCATGTTCTATATCATAATGTTCAGTGTTCTGATGATGACTCTTATCAAGTTTAAATCATTTCAGTAATTAAAAATGTATTAGGTTTCTTCAATTTAGCAATTTAGTCTGAGTCATTCATTTCATAGATATGGTGCCAAGATTTTTGGAGTACAGTAACAAATTATTACTCATTTCCATACTACACTATAAATAAATATTGCAGAATGAATATACAGGGTTCAATGGAAAGTCTGTCTGTGTTTAACTACTATAACTATAACTAGAGAAAAACAGAAACAACCTAGAAGTTTTTTCTTCTTTCCATACTATAAATGTAATAAGCCATGATTAAAAAAAAAGGCCCAAGTAGGCAAAGAATACTTTAATACTCTTTCATTTTGTAATTGGACATTTTTTGCCTATCTCTGTTAGTTTCAAGTTAATTTTCTTTAGTTCCATATTTTGCCACTATGGTGATAAAATCATGTGCAATGACTGCACATGGTCATTTTCCTATAGGTGCCAATTACTTCTGTGGCACTATGACAGGTGCTTTAAACCTGTCATAGTGCCACAGAATCACTTATGATTCACTTAGATTTTACAAATACATGTGCTGGGCTGTGAACAGCTCATGTATTTGTAAAATCTAAGTGACTCGTACAACATGGAATTTATATAACACGGAATTATCAACAATGTTATAGGGGGGATCTACTGTAATACCATACTACTAATACAATAGAGATGCTGTTGGAGACATGATTATAATAGGTGTGCTGGATTGTCAGTGTAGTCCAAATGTAGCTAATTTAGCAAATTTCTCACTACATCTAGCAAGATTTTAAAAACTAAAGTAACTTTTCATTTTCTTCGTTTTTAAGATTTAAATTTTTTTCATTATTTCAACTCTTTGCCGCTTTGCAGGTTGGGAACCCCTGATGTAGGCCTATCTGTCAAAAACCAACGTACAAAATATTTAAGCTGAAAAAACTATTAATATATAGATTTCATCTAAAAAGTAAAGCATCTGTGCAAAATGGATTGTGTTTATATTGTCTATAGTTTTCTTTTTCTGCATCATGTTGTATGCTCCACACAAAATTTAGATACATTAGATCTAAATACCAATATTTATATCATATTAGAGAAAGCAGCAATACAAATTCATTTAATTAGGAATTTTAAATACAAGTACAAAAATTAATAAAACAAACAAACATTGTTTCTAGTAACTGTGCCCTGATTTGGAACAATAGTCAGCACTAGTTTCAGTGAAATATCATTTTACACTTCTACCATAATTATAATAATTATCCTTCTACATATAATTTACAAATTGTAATATATAAATAAATCTGATATGTTGATTTAAACAAGTTTAATGTATAATTCTTAATTTTAAAGAATTAATGACAGCTGATTACAATATAGTATTTGTTCTTTTTGCCATTAGTTCTATTTCTATGATTTGATGTAGCTAGACTTTACAGTGAGTCTACTTTGAATAGATGTTAAAAAGTGTAAAGTTTTAAAGAAAAGGTAAACTTAAATGAGTTTATTAACGTTGAAATTAAGTACTTACTTTTCTAAAGTATTCTGAATTGCAAGTGTAAATTGTGCAATGAAAAGATATTTAATATAAACACATTTTTTTTTGAAAAGATATTTTTAAATTTAGACATCAATATTTGACACAATAATCATATAATAATTGATGATATAAGTTAGTTGCTTATTCAAGGATGATTAAAACAGAGGCATTTTTATTTCATTGAATGTTACAGTAATAATACTGAAGATTGAATAAATTTAATAAATTTCATCAAAAAATGGTATAAATAATAAAAATAACTGTTTTGTAGTGTTGAAACATAAATTTTAATTTCATTGCAACTAGTTTTACATTTTTTTTGTTATGTTATTTCTTTAAAGAAAAATGCAGATGACAGATTTCTAATTAAGAATATGCATATATTATATCAAATTGCAAGTGCTTTGTTTAAACAGATAACACAATTCAATTTTATTATTTTTCATAAATTTATATTTGAGAAAGTATTTTATTCAAAAATGATAATTTGCATACAGGTTCTTTCCCAAATGTAATTTTAAGAGAAATCGTAAATTTTGTGTACAAGTTTCAGAAATTTATGACATTCATTATGAGATTTATTTTAAATAGTTTTAATTTGTTGAAGATAAATTTATTAGTATAATTTTAAACATTATTACTTAACTGTAAAATTTATAATAATTCATCCAAAGATTGATTTTAAATTATTATTTGAAAAACAGATTGTTGATTTAGCCTTGTTGGTGAAACAAGATGCTCAAGGGAGTTCGTGTGATCCATTTACTAGATTAATTCCTCCTGTTGTATATAATCCAGAATATCCTAATATTCAGATAGCTCAAAATCTGAAACAATGTCAAATTCTAAGACCTGATTCTCCATCACAGGTAAGATACTTGTTTATACAGTATTTAATTAAATGGCATTAAGATTTTTTATGCCTTCTTTAACTGTCATAAAAACTTAAAAAAATATGACTTTAAATTTTTAAACAAATTTTTAATATGCTATCATCACAAATCATAATCTTCCATTGTAAAAAAGTCAATTAAATTTCAAAATTTAAGCAATTTAAAATAGTGAGGTTATGACCAATGTTTTCAACATGAAACTCGGATGTTCAGCACCACCTTCCTGTGAGCCTAGAAGTTTGACAATGGCATTTGGAACGTTAGTGGAATCATGCTTGATGTTCCAAATGCCTTTGTCAAACTTCTAGGCATACAGGAAGGTGGTGCTGAATGTCCAACGTTCACGTTTTTGTGTTGAAAACTTTGGCTGCAACCGCACTAATATAAAACTTTTAAATTTCAATAAAATTTAGTAATTTTGGATGATTAAACAGACTAAAGTATCTTAATTAATTTTTAGAAAAGTCCAAGAAATTAATTAAAATTTTTTACCCCTTATTTACCCCCTATATTCTGCATAAATTGTTTAATCTCATGAAGTAGTAAAATCTAAATGGCTTGGTTCTAGTAATCGTAGTCAATTATACAGGATTGATCTTAAAGATAGTTAACCAATTAGCTTCAAAATTAATCATACAACAAGATTATATGAAAATGTAATATAATTTTAAAATTGAATGAATAAGTAGTTTTCCTTTACTATAAAAATTTACAGATTTTAAAAGAAAAAATTTTGTTCTAGAAATGTCTTATTTTAATCAGACTTGAGTCCAGATCTCTTACAATAGACCAACAACTCTCAAATCTATTATTTCATTTTCAGATTTTATAAAATAAGTTAATTATCTTTCCAATTTCTCTAATAATAACAACTACAGTATGATTTTGTTTTATGTGGGGATTGTGTGTCAGCAGACACTGCATAAAATGAAATTTGTATAAATTTTAGATCCAACTTAAGCAGTCCCTAGACACTAATGCAAATTTATAAGTAACAGACAAACATGTGTTTTATGCTACCTTTCCATTGTGGTTTTGATTTTATTACATAATTTCAAAACAAAATGTTTAGTTTTACACAGCTGGCATGTTGTACACCAAATTTTCACTGCTTTTGTTGTATCTGCATTAGAATTACAGTAGACACGTGGTAATCTGGCCCCTCTCTAATCTGGAACCCCCTATAATCTGACATGCCTATATCCAGCTCGGTATGCAATGGGCTGAAGAGAATGGTGCACTGTACAACAAATTTTTACTTCTGAGGAGAATAAGAGACAAGGCCTTACTCTCGCATTTAGCCAATGTAAAACAAAATAAAATTGATAAATATTTGCATGCACCATAAATTTATTTGTTTATCCATTTTAAAATTAAGATTATACATAGTATGTACCTTGGAAATACTTACATATGTTGTATGTAATTAATTGACATCAATATGTTTAGTTATTATTTTTGCAAGTGCTATAGAGTTAATGACATTAATTTTACAATAAACCCTATGCTATCTATTGTGTTGTTTAATTCACTAAGTTCCGTATTGTATATTATGTAGTACATATAGATTTGATCTTACCATTTTTATAAGTATGTAATTTGTCAGATTACAAGGTACTCCTTTTCAAAAAAAGTTTTGGACTATAAGGGGTTGATGGCAGTACTCTATAGTCCAACAAATTTGATTGTCCAACACCACCTTGCAAAATGTTTGTCTGATTACCGCAGGTCTACTGTATTATATCATTAGTTTTGCTCCACAATAAATTTCATACCAAAAATTGTCAGAATTACCTCTGCATACAAGGGTTAACATAACCATTTTGCATCTATGAAAACAGAAATTTATTTCTATCAATCCTGCATAAAAGAAGACCCTATTGTACATATAATCTTAAGATTTGTTTAAAATTATCATTTAATATCATAATTTTTAAAATAAAATTAAATACTATTAACAGCCTTAATTTGAAGTGAGTAATTAAATTGAATTTAAGCAACACTTTTGTAAGTAATGGGTGGCCATAAATACAAGTTTTCCTCATACAACACTGTACTTCTACAACAGAATTTTGCTCTAACATCATTTTGGAAATCCTCTATGCAAAATTTCACAATTTTTAAGTATAAACCTTGTTGTTCAATATTTTTTTATTCAAGAAAAGCATGTGTGTTGCCTCAAATTTGCCCACAGATTTCATTGAAATTTTCAAATTATTTTGTGCTTTTTGTCAGGTTTACTTTAATGAAAACTGATAGGACAAGGAAGAAAAAAATTGCACTAGCTTGCCTCTCAACCAGGTGTCATTGTTGTTGCTTTCAGACTTTAGCCCTGAAGACTGTCACTGTGTTTTCTTTTAGATTATTATATCATTTATTATTATTATTATATACAGATTATTATATTTCTTATAGATTATTATATATAGATTTCTTATAGATTAATCTTAGTATTTAGTAAAGTTTATTTAAACATTTTTAGGTAAGAGTTACTAATTTTTTTTAACCGTAAGTAAGTAATCATTTGTAAAAATGACAAATGAAATACTTAGTACTCGAACAATTCAGTATTCAAATACAAAATCTGGAAAAAATCACTTAATCCTCAACTGAACAAACACGACCCTCTAGAACAAATTTTCAATTAACAACATACAGCGGTTGATTGGTTAACGAAAACTTTCATGAAAGATTTTTATGATCAGACAACGAATGCATGTTTGGATAACAAATACTTTACTGAACAAACATAAAAAGAAGTGACGGAAAATAACAAATACCAATTAATTTTCCCTTGTCTTCAGGTAACAATTCAAATCCTTTTGGAGCATGGGAGACATCAGCTCAACCTGATACCGATCGGATAGTATTAATATTTCTCCAAAGTTTGAAACTCTCCCTTGTAATTCCAGCTTTTAGTTTACCTTTCTGACAAATAATTTTTTATAGTCTTCGTGAGACTGTCCGACGAGCACTTGTTAAGTTTTGCATTGGGGTTTATTTATGAAAGGTGAAAGTTTAACTGTCCCATCGGATATTTGTTAATGTTTTAATACCAAATTTCGAATTTCATCCGGGCCTTGCATTTAAATAATTTTTTATGGGCTAGTTGATTTCTGTTCTCTGAATTTTTGTAAGTGCTTTTCTGAACTTTTTATTTAAAAAAGAAACTGATAATATTATGGAGCCTAAAAAGAGGAGTGTCAAGAACTGTACTCACCGTAAACCAAGTAAGAGATAATAGCCAAAGTAAAAAGTGGGCACAAGATGTCTGATGTTGCTAGGCAGTATGGCTTGAACAGGTCTACAGTAGGCACAATCTTAGCTATAAAATATATATCAAGAAGTCTCAAGCTGCTAATGAAGTAATGAAAATTACATCTGAGAAATAAAAAGCATTTTAGAGCTCATAATGGAACCTGAAACTGATCTGATGACAGAAGAACTCCAGGGATGTCAGAACAGCAATCATCCAAGTGGCAACCAAACCAGAATAAAGTTAATGGGGTTGGGGATCTCTACAAATACAATACTATTAATTACTTTTAAAAAATCCTGAAGAAAAGAGAGAAGCAATAGACATTGAACAGATTCTTTAACCTCCACAATAAGAAAAAAACATGACTAATAAAAATGCAAAACAAAAATACATATATGTGTATTTTTACTATTACATATAAATAAACATAGTAAAAAAGTATATATTTTTTATTTTTTGGAGTCTCTGGAACAAATTAATCAAATTCACATAAAAACCTAAGATAAATCGACAATTGGTTAACGAACAATTCAGATAATGAACAAAGTCTTGGAATGGATTATGTTCATTAACCGATCACCACTGTATTGAGATTATTTCATCATCCATATAAAGTTTTTATGATAAAAATAAAAGATATAAAAATGTTGCTGATACTTCTGATCAAGATCAACAAAAAAGCTGAGATGATGATACTTTGTAAAAAGAAAATGCCCTGGTTTAACTAAAATTAATATTAATGCATAAAAATTACACAAGCTGAAAGTTCAAATGCCTACCTTTTATTGTAGGATTTGGCACTTTCATGATAAAACATTGATAAAATTTTTCGCAATATCTACTGTCTGTCTTAAGGCTACAAGACAGTAGATATTGTGAAAAATTTTATCAATCTTTTATTGTAAAAATGCTGAATCCTACAATAAAAGGTTGGCATTTGATCATTTTTAACTTGTGTTATTTTTTAATATTCTATGCTTGCTTTTTTTTTTTTTTGTCTTAAGGCTACAAGACAGTAGATATTGTGAAAAATTTTATCAATCTTTTATTGTAAAAATGCTAAATCCTAAAATAAAAGGTTGGCATTTGATCATTTTTAACTTTGTGTAAATGTTTTAAAAAATCTATTATTGCTGTTTTAATGAAGATTTAGTTATATCTTCAAGCAAATTTGCTGTTACTTTTGTGTTGGATTCTGAAAAGGATAAAAAAAGAATAGACTTGAAAAAGNAATTCCATAATGATGTAAATACCACTTTTCTCAAAATATGTTTTATTGAAGAATTGAATTCTAAATGCAATGTTTTCTGCTGCAAAATGTATTTGACAATATTGGCACTGTAAGTGGCTGTATTTTAAACTTAAATTTGTGAAGCCCTAATGTTTAAAGCACTAAAGTGCCAGTCACATGACTTTTGTGCTTAAAATGTTACAGCTTATATTTACATCATTTTGATATTCCAGAAAATTTGTAACCTAGTGAGTTTTTTTACCTCTCTTGAAAATTTTTTTTGGCATTTACAACATTATGGCATTGCATGCTTCACTTATTTGATTTGCAAATATTTTAATGTACAATTATGGATTCACTATAATACACAATCATTAGAATAATAATAATAAATGTAGCACAATACATAAACAACAAAGACATTTTTAAGCAATTGTGGACACAGAAGATGATGTGCAGTTCTTATGAACATAGATTTGTCAATGTAGTCTTCACTTTGTCAAACTGCTTGTAGGCTTGGAAGTGTTTATAATGGTTAGGCAATATGAGATCATAAATACAGAATTTACAGATAATCCATGTTAAAAGATGTGACATTTATAGATGACACACGTGTTACAAAATGTCTTGTTCTGTTCAAAATAATATATCACCTCAAGATGCAAGCTTTTAAAATATAGATTATTACATATATGTAACCAAATAGATATAAAGTGAAAGAAATGTGTACACAAACACAAATTATTATGAAATGAATAATTCAGACAACTGCTAATTTGAGGAAATCAAATACTTTTTTAATTGTTGAAATTTTTTGACTTGATATAACTTATCATCAGCACACCAAACATTATATAACAGAACATGAATTAGAACATTTTTTGCAGTGTTGAAATAATGAAAAAAATTAAATCTTAAAAATGAAGAAAATGAAAAGTTACTTTAGTTTTTAAAATCTTGCTAGATGTAGTGAGAAATTTGCTAAATTGGCTACATTTGGGATACACTGACCATTGTCTAATCCAGCACACCTATTATAATCATGTCTCCAATGGCATCTCTATTATATTAGTAGTATGGTATTAGTTGTCACTGAGTGTTGTTGTTGTAAACTTGTACTGTTGTCATCACATGCTATCATTGTGTTGTGTGCTTTTTTTTTTTTTTTTGTATATAAACAAAGTAATCCAAGTAAAAAACAACGAACCTATCATTTTAACAAAGATTTGGGAAGAAGACTACTTTGTTATCAAAAGTAAAGAGAAATGTATTTGCTTAATATGCAACAGTGTTGCATATTAAGCAGTTGTCAGTGGGAAAAAAACACAATATTGAATGTCATTACAAAACCAATCACAATTCTTTTGAGGTTAGTTATCCGTCTAATTCCGAGTTAAGAAAAATAAAATTTCATCAACTAAAATCAGGATTATCCACCCTGCAAGCAGTTTTTACCAGCTGTGTAAATAAAAATAAAAATGCCACTTTTGCTTTCTTTAAAATTTCTCATTTGTTGGTAAAATGAAGAAAATCAGTTTTAGAAAGTGAACCAATTAAAGAAGCATTTCTCATTGGAGCTGATTCATTATTTGAAGGATTTTCTAATAAGCAAGAAATTAGTTCAGCAATATTTTATTTTATTTATTTTTAAGAATATAAAGATTATATCAAAGATGAATAAACAATAAATAAAATAAAATATCTTTTTTGTAATATAGAATGTTAAAAATAATTGTGCATAAACAATTGGTTTTGATTCAAAAATGGTCTAATTCCAATTCATGTTCTATATCATAATGTTCAGTGTTCTGATGATGACTCTTATCAAGTTTAAATCATTTCAGTAATTAAAAATGCATTAGGTTTCTTCAATTTAGCAATTTAGTCTGAGTCATTCATTTCATAGATATGGTGCCAAGATTTTTGGAGTACAGTAACAAATTATTACTCATTTCCATACTACACTATAAATAAATATTGCAGAATGAATATACAGGGTTCAATGGAAAGTCTGTCTGTGTTTAACTACTATAACTATAACTAGAGAAAAACAGAAACAACCTAGAAGTTTTTTCTTCTTTCCATACTATAAATGTAATAAGCCATGATTAAAAAAAAGGCCCAAGTAGGCAAAGAATACTTTAATACTCTTTCATTTTGTAATTGGACATTTTTTGCCTATCTCTGTTAGTTTCAAGTTAATTTTCTTTAGTTCCATATTTTGCCACTATGGTGATAAAATCACGTGCAATGACTGCACATGGTCATTTTCCTATAGGTGCCAATTACTTCTGTGGCACTATGACAGGTGCTTTAAACCTGTCATAGTGCCACAGAATCACTTATGATTCACTTAGATTTTACAAATACATGTGCTGGGCTGTGAACAGCTCATGTATTTGTAAAATCTAAGTGACTCGTACAACATGGAATTTATATAACACGGAATTATCAACAGTGTTATAGGGGGGATCTACTGTAATACCATACTACTAATACAATAGAGATGCTGTTGGAGACATGATTATAATAGGTGTGCTGGATTGTCAGTGTAGTCCAAATGTAGCTAATTTAGCAAATTTCTCACTACATCTAGCAAGATTTTAAAAACTAAAGTAACTTTTCATTTTCTTCGTTTTTAAGATTTAAATTTTTTTCATTATTTCAACTCTTTGCCGCTTTGCAGGTTGGGAACCCCTGATGTAGGCCTATCTGTCAAAAACCAACGTACAAAATATTTAAGCTGAAAAAACTATTAATATATAGATTTCATCTAAAAAGTAAAGCATCTGTGCAAAATGGATTGTGTTTATATTGTCTATAGTTTTCTTTTTCTGCATCATGTTGTATGCTCCACACAAAATTTAGATACATTAGATCTAAATACCAATATTTATATCATATTAGAGAAAGCAGCAATACAAATTCATTTAATTAGGAATTTTAAATACAAGTACAAAAATTAATAAAACAAACAAACATTGTTTCTAGTAACTGTGCCCTGATTTGGAACAATAGTCAGCACTAGTTTCAGTGAAATATCATTTTACACTTCTACCATAATTATAATAATTATCCTTCTACATATAATTTACAAATTGTAATATATAAATAAATCTGATATGTTGATTTAAACAAGTTTAATGTATAATTCTTAATTTTAAAGAATTAATGACAGCTGATTACAATATAGTATTTGTTCTTTTTGCCATTAGTTCTATTTCTATGATTTGATGTAGCTAGACTTTACAGTGAGTCTACTTTGAATAGATGTTAAAAAGTGTAAAGTTTTAAAGAAAAGGTAAACTTAAATGAGTTTATTAACGTTGAAATTAAGTACTTACTTTTCTAAAGTATTCTGAATTGCAAGTGTAAATTGTGCAATGAAAAGATATTTAATATAAACACATTTTTTTTTGAAAAGATATTTTTAAATTTAGACATCAATATTTGACACAATAATCATATAATAATTGATGATATAAGTTAGTTGCTTATTCAAGGATGATTAAAACAGAGGCATTTTTATTTCATTGAATGTTACAGTAATAATACTGAAGATTGAATAAATTTAATAAATTTCATCAAAAAATGGTATAAATAATAAAAATAACTTTTAATAAAATAAAATAAAAGACAAAACTGTCCAAAAAGGATCACCATATTACTTGTGTTCCAAGACTAAAACATTTTCGGTGACTGACCTTCCTTTTTAGGCTACTTGTCGCCATAAAGTTCACAAAAAGTCCTTTTTAAAAACACAAAAATCCAATTAAAATTTTTTATATAAAATTTCTGAAAAAGGAACTGGTGACATGCAGTTGTCTTGCTTCCATCATACCTTCTCTTGGGGTTTTTTTTTCTTCTTTTATCTACTAAAGAGTAGCGCTGGAAAATGTAGATTTTTAGAGAAGTTGCCCCCTGGTGACGATATATGTAAAAATTTTTTTCTGTAAAAGTTCGTCCGATGGAGAATTAGTAGCCTAAAAAGGAGCCTAAAAAGTAGCCTAAAAAGGAAGGTCAGTCGCCGAAAATGTTTTAGTCTTGGAACACAAGTAATAAATGGTGATCCTTTTTGGACAGTTTTGTCTTTTATTTTATTTTATTAAAAGTAATTCTCCATCGGACGAACTTTTACAGAAATAAAAATAACTGTTTTGTAGTGTTGAAACATAAATTTTAATTTCATTGCAACTAGTTTTACATTTTTTTTGTTATGTTATTTCTTTAAAGAAAAATGCAGATGACAGATTTCTAATTAAGAATATGCATATATTATATCAAATTGCAAGTGCTTTGTTTAAACAGATAACACAATTCAATTTTATTATTTTTCATAAATTTATATTTGAGAAAGTATTTTATTCAAAAATGATAATTTGCATACAGGTTCTTTCCCAAATGTAATTTTAAGAGAAATCGTAAATTTTGTGTACAAGTTTCAGAAATTTATGACATTCATTATGAGATTTATTTTAAATAGTTTTAATTTGTTGAAGATAAATTTATTAGTATAATTTTAAACATTATTACTTAACTGTAAAATTTATAATAATTCATCCAAAGATTGATTTTAAATTATTATTTGAAAAACAGATTGTTGATTTAGCCTTGTTGGTGAAACAAGATGCTCAAGGGAGTTCGTGTGATCCATTTACTAGATTAATTCCTCCTGTTGTATATAATCCAGAATATCCTAATATTCAGATAGCTCAAAATCTGAAACAATGTCAAATTCTAAGACCTGATTCTCCATCACAGGTAAGATACTTGTTTATACAGTATTTAATTAAATGGCATTAAGATTTTTTATGCCTTCTTTAACTGTCATAAAAACTTAAAAAAATATGACTTTAAATTTTTAAACAAATTTTTAATATGCTATCATCACAAATCATAATCTTCCATTGTAAAAAAGTCAATTAAATTTCAAAATTTAAGCAATTTAAAATAGTGAGGTTATGACCAATGTTTTCAACATGAAAACATGTACTCGGATGTTCAGCACCACCTTCCTGTGAGCCTAGAAGTTTGACAATGGCATTTGGAACGTTAGTGGAATCATGCTTGATGTTCCAAATGCCTTTGTCAAACTTCTAGGCATACAGGAAGGTGGTGCTGAATGTCCAACGTTCACGTTTTTGTGTTGAAAACTTTGGCTGCAACCGCACTAATATAAAACTTTTAAATTTCAATAAAATTTAGTAATTTTGGATGATTAAACAGACTAAAGTATCTTAATTAATTTTTAGAAAAGTCCAAGAAATTAATTAAAATTTTTTACCCCTTATTTACCCCCTATATTCTGCATAAATTGTTTAATCTCATGAAGTAGTAAAATCTAAATGGCTTGGTTCTAGTAATCGTAGTCAATTATACAGGATTGATCTTAAAGATAGTTAACCAATTAGCTTCAAAATTAATCATACAACAAGATTATATGAAAATGTAATATAATTTTAAAATTGAATGAATAAGTAGTTTTCCTTTACTATAAAAATTTACAGATTTTAAAAGAAAAAATTTTGTTCTAGAAATGTCTTATTTTAATCAGACTTGAGTCCAGATCTCTTACAATAGACCAACGACTCTCAAATCTATTATTTCATTTTCAGATTTTATAAAATAAGTTAATTATCTTTCCAATTTCTCTAATAATAACAACTACAGTATGATTTTGTTTTATGTGGGGATTGTGTGTCAGCAGACACTGCATAAAATGAAATATGTATAAATTTTAGATCCAACTTAAGCAGTCCCTAGACACTAATGCAAATTTATAAGTAACAGACAAACATGTGTTTTATGCTACCTTTCCATTGTGGTTTTGATTTTATTACATAATTTCAAAACAAAATGTTTAGTTTTACACAGCTGGCATGTTGTACACCAAATTTTCACTGCTTTTGTTGTATCTGCATTAGAATTACAGTAGACATGTGGTAATCTGGCCCCTCTCTAATCTGGAACCCCCTATAATCTAACATGCCTATATCCAGCTCGGTATGCAATGGGCTGAAGAG